CATGTCTTCTTGTCTGATCCCATCTCTAATATGTGCTTTGTTGTTTTTTTTTATGTAATCTCATTGCAGCTGTTCCATTTATTATTATAAATTATTATTGTGATTCCTGAATATTTTATTTGGGCGTCTGTGAGAGCCTGGATGTACACTGAATCAATACCTTCTCATAGTCTACAAGGCAAGGCATAATGATAATTTACATAATTTGTCTTTTGTAAAATCTGATTAATAGTACTGTGTGTGATCCATGGTACAGGAACCTTTCCTAAACTCGGATTGCTCAAGTAGTTTTTTTGGCCTCTCAATGTTACATTATTGCTCCCAATGACCACAAACAGTTTCTAATAAATGTGTTTATTAGAAACTGATTTATAGGCGAATAGTTCCGTAATTCTTCAAATCGCTTCCATCAACTTTTTTTTTTACAGATAAAGTTTGAGGCGTCATTACATGATTGAGGAATTTATTTTATTTTTTTATACATATTTTATAAATACATCCCCAAATTCTGGCTCAAACTCATCTCACACCTTTGATGGCCAAAGTTATACCATCCAGTCCAGGAACTTTCCATTGTTTTATACTGTGAAGGGCCGCGTGTTTAATTCAAGTTTTACATTGGAACTTCCTTCTTTGAATTTGAAAAATGATTTTATTCCTGGGATATTTGTAGATTTTCTTTTTTACAATAACAAAAAAGTGTCATTTCTATACAAATTTCAAGATTATATCTCTTGTCACGTGCAACGATTCCATCTTTCTCCGTAAGGACGAGCATAAAATTGTGAATTTCCAATTTTGTCTCTATCATAATTTATGGTTCCATATTTTTCCCAAAATGGGTACGACCATTTTTTAATTTGCTAATTGTCTACAATTGTTGCTGCTTTATTGCCCTCATGTTTGCTATGACGTCTTCCATCATTTTTGTTCTTCGATTTTTCTCATCCTTTTCCCAATTGCTTTACAGAGTTCTGTGTGTTTAATCTATTGCCAAGCCATCTTTATCTAGCAGTAGATGGCAGAGGTGGGACAAAGTCATTGTTATGCAAGTCCAAGTCGAGTCTGAAGTCATCAAATTCATGACTCGAGTCTGACTCGAGTCCAAGTCACATGACTCGAGTCCACACCTCAGAGGTGGGACAAAGTCATTGTTATGCAAGTCCAAGTCGAGTCTGAAGTCATCAAATTCATGACTCGAGTCTGACTCGAGTCCAAGTCACATGACTCGAGTCCACACCTCAGGTAGATGGATCATGACCGATGATATTTTAACCTAGACAACATAACGAATCACTAAATCTATAGTATGCAATATTTATGCTTCCAAACTATTTTATTGCCAGAAGTAACTACTTTATATTGTAAGATATACAAATCACAAGTACTCTGGGTAGGAGACTCTAATGTACAATGCAGTGACACATTCGTGACATGAAAGGCTGTGTAAAAAATATAACAGTTCATTATTTTTGTTAAACCCTTTGGCAGAAAATGCTAATTTAGTAACTTTTCTTGGCACCTTTTTTTAACGCTTTACATTTACTGCTTGCCTCTATACTCGTGTAACCTTGGCTGGTCTGCATTATCCACCAGTCAATACCTATTGAGCTACTTGCTCGGTGTAACAAGTTATTTGAATCACAATCAAAGAGCAGAAACTGAATACTTATGAGAAAGCCTTTTAGCTATATAAGTAATTCGTTTCCTCTCTGCTCATTTAGTGTAATTGCATTTGCTTTGCACAGTATTGTTTTTTTATAGAGTAGCAACTAATAAATGCTCACAGCTGCGAAGCTGGCTGGCTCCATTTCAATGGGAGGTACCTTTGCTGTATGCAGATGCAGAATTGATTTGGGCACGCTACATGGGCATCTTATGTAGCGTACCCAACCTTATGACCATAATTGTCATTTATGGCGCTACGATTGGTATTCTTTCTTGACTAATTAAATGCAGGATTAATCATTATTGTATAGTGGCAGTTGTGCACTTTACTGCTGGGGAAATCTCATTGATTGAAACCGTCTCTGCGTTGTATACAAAATTAATGTATTCGGTGAAATTAAAATGTGCTCACGATATTTATTACATAAAGAAAGCTAAACTGAGTGCTTTAGTGTATTATGCCAGAAAAATCCCATCCCACATCAAGCGAAAGTGCACAGCAGTAAGTATATTGTAATATAATTCTTGCTTCATAAAAGACCCTCCGTTTTCCTGTTTGGTGAATTTTTATGGATATTTACCACATTATGTAGGTCATGTTTAATTAAATTCATTTATTGTCTCTAAAAGTTACGATCGTTGTGTTATGCAAAAACGACTTTATGGGTATTGCCCAGGCCATACAGGGCAATATGTCAAAGGCCAGCTGACATTCCATTACTGATGAGGGATCCCGAAAATAATATTCACAGCATTGTGATGAAAACATGAACATATAATCGAAATTGTGACACGGTTTAACTGTCTTGGAGAAAAATCATACCATTATCTTTTTACAAGCATACAGTTTCAATTACCACATGGTAATAGCTACAGCTGAGCGGTGTGGAGTCGGGCAAGATGTGCTGTGACTCGGCAGCTCTGGCACTGTGTGCATTCGTAGTGTATCCTTTGGCGGGTCACTGCTTTGTACAGATTTGCAGGCGTAGCCAGTCCGCCCCCCCCCCCCTCTCCTCCCGTGAATCATAACAAAGGGGGGGACAGGTCGGCTAAATAGACAACAACAACAATAATAAAGTTTCGGTGACGATGAGTAGATGTTCTGCGTTGTGTTTTGTCCTCCTGAGACGTGGGCGACGCCACGAACAATGAGCGCAACAGAGGTTCGTGAAACGGCAAAGGTCTATTTCAAAGTGTTCTTCCAAGGGGCATTTGCATCATTTGAAATTCATGACCAGACACACCCTCGTCAACCTCCACGTTACACAACACCTCGGCTCAGTCCCTCGGCACGTCGTCCACCCCAAATCTAAATTGGTGCGCTCTCTACTCCCAATAGTCTACACACAGCTGGGCGTGCCCTGCTGTGCACGCAAGGCTTGGGATCAATTCTCTAATCATCATTGACTTCACTTATAATGAAAAAAAACGCACGTGGCTCTCCGTACCAATTACAGCAACGTGTAGCAGCAGAGGGCACAATTCTAAGTGCGATTCTTTACCAGGTAAGCTCACATCCGGCTACACAGGTGAACTGTGTGATGGGCATCACAGTAGCCCTGACAAACTTGCGTGGCTTGCTGATAACCCACTGAAGCTGGATTAAAAACGAGTATGCCTCTGATTTCCCATTGGCAGTTAAATTTGCACTTGCTGAAGGTCGTGAGATTCACATTAGCCACGCAAGTCTTCCAATTTGTTCCATGATGGTGACCTTCAGACAAGGACGATGTGTCATTTAATTGAAAACATGAAGTCATGCTTATAATTGATAAAGTATGCGCATGCACAATTACATAATTATTCAATGTACATGCTGAATGGAACAAAAAGTACAGTATTTGTTTTATTTAGTTGGACTTTCCTGCATTGAGTTTTATTTTAAAAATTAAAAAAATTCGTGATGACAGTTGTGATTCGTCCCTTGGATTGATAATTATCGACAAATGTACACAGAGAGTTAACTTATGGCAATGAGCTAATACTCAAAGAAGGGGTTATTGTATATGGTAGGTTCAAATTACTTGAAAAGGTTATGTCAGCAATGTATGATTTTAAGTGGCAAACATCCAGATCAACATCGAGTCGTAAGATATGCTGGCGTCTTGAGATGATTCCACAATGCTTTGCAGCCTGTTTTGCACTTTTACATATCTTACACGTCAACGAGATGTAGATCCTGTAGACAAATAGTTCATATTTATTTATTTTACAAGCCTACAGACTGTGCTCACGTTACCATTTAACGGAGTGTTACGCTGCGTGTTTTGACAGCTGGCCTCCAGCAGAATTTGCCAAGTACAAGATATCAACAAATGGTTGCTAATCTATACTCTACTGATGATGAGTGCTGCATTAACCTGTGTTGATGATTATGTGATTGGTATTGGAAGCTTAAAAGCTCAAAGCTCTCACATTTGAGCCCAACAAGTCCGTGACCTAACACGGGCCCGAGTGGTGCTGTGTTGTAGAATATTCCAGTTTTCTTTTCAGCACGAGAACAATAAGCCTGTTTCCCCTTCCTCTGCAGTTTTCACATGGATGTAGCAATACATGTTAAGTGTATAATAAACAAATATTTAAACAAACTAATACAACTGAAAAAATGCATACATTATCAAACCATATTTGTTTGTATGTTAAACTTATTTCGCACCGTACATAGCCAAACGTGCTCATAGGAGGTGATGTAGAAGGACAGCAAACTAAAGACAAAAAGCAGTTGTAAAGAAAGGGTAAAGCCTATAATTTTTTCCCCATCATCTTTACACTGTCAAAACGGCCTCATAGAAACAAGGCTGCAACTAATTATGCACATTGAAAAGCTAACTGATTTAATTTGTATATATCTAAGCTGGCTCGTGAAACAAAATGAGCCAGCTCGAATTTGACAAAGTGCTTTCATTTGTTAATACAGTCATAACTGTGTGGCGGGATGGTATTTGGCCTACTCACACATACTTATTAGATGCCTCGGGAGAGGTGGACGTACCCACCACTTTACTAGTCCACTTGCTGATTCCTGACTGGTCTACCCGTGCTACTGCTGAGTGGACAGAGGCAAGTCTTTTGTAAAATATAAACTTGCACCATTATTTTAACTGCCGCACTGGGAAATTGAATCGAACTTGCGACCTCTGGATTGTAGATCCAGGGTGATGACCATCACAATGTGGTAACACTGTTAAAGAAAAAAATAAAATGTATAAGCAACTCACAGTTATTACTCTGGAATAGCTGTGTTGGCTAATTTTATTTTGGTATAAAAGTGGGGTCTAATTAATTCCCCGTGGGGTACGAATGTCTATTTGCGTTGGCCTGTGTGTGCACAGCCAGGAGGCACTGTGCGTGGAGGGCGGACACTGGCTGGCCCCAGGCACGGTATGGAGACCTCCTGGGGTGCGACGGGCACAGGGTCTTACAGGGGTGGCATGCAGCAGCAGCAGCAGCACCACGGCTACGCACACACGCACACCAATGCCACGGTCAGTGCCTGCCACTCGGCACCATTAACCCCTTCTCTGTGTGACCGCACCTATGAAGATGTGTGATTCTGTTACAATTAATCTGCTGTCTTTTCGTAAACGTTACAATGTTTGGCTTTTTTTTAATTCATATTTGATAGCAAATGTGATTGTTCGTAAACAAAATGAATTGCCATTTGCAGACCTGAGCTAGCCATGGATATTCTTTATTCCCATGGCAGAGGCCAGTCTATTCATAGGGCAACCACTAAAGTTAATTTGATTATGGTGAACCAATGGAATGAAAGCTGACATCAACATTGGCTTTGATAGCTGTTACCCAGGCGCAATGATGATGTGTGATGAACAATGTGTTAACTTAACAGGTACATTTTTGTTACTCAACAATATTGCCACTCACAATTGATCGTTAATTAATGTGGCCTAACCCAAAATAAAGTCGAGTATTCATAAATGTAAATGCATATCTGTTTATTCTTTCATAAAACTGCACATTGTATTGCACAATATAACCAGAACTGTGTTGATTAGTATTTGTTTCTAAGGACCAACTTGTTTCGGAGATTAACTCAATCCAACTAGAAAACCCCGTAATTTTGTCATCACCTCTGATTCATCACACATCTTGCTTACTGTAATCCCAGCCCATTTCCTCTTATGCTGTACTTACTACCCTACGAATCCAAAACGTTTCCAAATATAAATGGTTTCAGTTCTCAGCTTTTTAGAGACTGTTCAATGTTTCAATGCGCTGTTACAAAATATATAAAAGGGATCTTGATGTTTATTTGTTAATATCTGGGAAAACACCCTCCCAGTGCCGTACAACTGTGTTCATTATGCAACTTGAATCGGTGCCATGTGAACCATAAATTCGACCACTCTAATCAAGCATGTATATCACCAACACAGCAGTATGCAGCCCTGATGGCATATCCTCAATTGTGTGCTGTGCCATCTGCCACATCACTATGATCTCACTAAGTGTTTTCTGTAAGAGAATCCCAGTCACAGTTACTGCTGAAAATGTAACGCCTTTAAGCTACCTTGCACATCATTATCAACTAGATATCTATCCACTGCTCGATAAAGGCACAGTCCAGCACATTGTCATTACACTGGTCAACAAAAAAACACATTTATTTTTCTGGCCTGGACTTTTTCAGCTGTTTTAGACTAATTTCAGGGCGCTGATTCCAAATCTGATCTCAGATTTGCTCCATCACATCTCATTTTTATGCTATCGGCATACCCCATTTTCATTTATTTTACCCGAAATTAACTCTGTCACTTATGATTGCAAGTTGTTGCGAGTCAGTGACTGCTTTAGTGTTAAAATATGGTGCTGTATTTTTAGGATAGTGTGTTTATAATATCATTTTATGTAGATATCCACATTTATTTAATATTTTTCTTCTGCAGTTTTTATTGAAAATGCAATATTTCATATCTCAAAAACCTGATGTGATAGACAAAAACTGATGCCAGATGTGGAATCAGCACCCCAAAATTACCTCAAAACCGTTGGAATACCTTATGCCAGAAAAAGTGTGTTGACCAGTGTTATCCCTCACGGAGCTGCGATGCCACCATCCATCTCCGTCCTGCGCTCGAGCTCGTATCGTCGCTTTATCACTGCAGTGGCCGCCAGAGGTCGCAACCGGGTACCCGATACCCGTACCCTACCCGATACCCGGCTATCCGTACCCGGCCGGGTACGGGTAGCCGTTTGCGACCCTGGTGCGGCCCGGGTACGGGTACGGGTAGACCGTGAGTCACTGGTGAGTAACTGTTTGTCACTCATTTCCAAACGTCTTGTCTCTTCTCACAATTCAAGTTCCTAGAATCAACCCACCCGCGCCTACCCTACCCGTACCCGGCCGGGTACGGGTAGGGTACGGGTACGGCCGGGTACGGGTACCCGTTTGCGACCCTGGTGCGGCCGGGTACGGGTAAGGAATCAAAACCCGTTTGCGACCTCTGGTGGCCGGTCCTCTCAGGCCTATGACCTCCTTTTACAGGTAGGAACAACAGTTCCACACTGCCCACCAGGGATTATTTGTCTGTCGTGCATAGCCCCTCCCAAACATGTAGTACGCTCCCGGATTTGTTGAAGTGCGTCACGTAACCGCGAGCTTTCTGTCGTGCACGAATGCACTGTCCAACCAAGTTCCTACCTGCCCACTCCGAAGGAACGTGTTTTTGCCACTCCGTCACCAACCTCGTACATCGGATCGGCTGTCATCCTTTTTTGCCCGATCCCACTTTCTTCACAATACAACTAATCTACATTACTTATACTTTACTTGAACAAGCTACATTCTTTTTCTGATCTCCGTTTCCTTGTTTACGTCATTTTAGTGTAATTCCTAATGTGCATCTATCCATGCAATGCAGACGTGTTAGCTCTTGCTCCGTGTTCATTGTAACCGTGCATGTTTGCCGATCCGTATGTCTCTCAGCGGGTGATACGCGTGATTGAAGAAGTTATTATTTAGGCTCATTGGTACTTGGCGTTTCGTTTGAAGCCATTTATAAAGATGGAACAGCTGAAATGAAATTGCATGTAGAAAGTTAACAAATAGTTATCAGAGGAGTCAGGCAAATGAGATGTGCTCTCAGCAAGGCAATTCACGGTGACACGAGATGATACTTTCCAAAAAAAGGCTTAAATATAACTAGTAAAAGTGTTCACCACATTGAGAGCCCAATCTCCCCCCTATCCTCCTGAACTCAGGCACACAACGGTTGTACCCCCCCACCCCCACGTCATGGTTTGTGCACTGTATTGGGCTTCAACTGAAATATAATAAAACAAATTTTTAAAAAGTATTAACCATATCAGATGTTCTGATAACCACATCATCGCAGTAGAACAACAAATGGCAATGCATTACAGGAAATTATTGAAGAACCCAAATACAAAGGCTGAAAAGTGTGGCTGAAAATAAACACTGTTTGAGTCATGGTCTACAACCTCACTTTTCTCAACTAAATAAAATAATTGTCTGAGGAACTCGTATGTAAAGCACAACAGATCATTATATCTAGAGTAGCTATTTAAGGTGGCCTCGAATCAAAAACTAAAACAAAAGAGCAGAATGGGGTCTTTTTGGAGAAAACAATCATTTAAATAAGAAAAAGGTTATGGCTAACAAACCCAAACGTGGACCCTGATTGCCCACAGGGATAAGTGGGTCCATTATAAATAAATAAATAGAACCCACAAAATGTTGCACATAGTTCTGTTTACAAAATTTCTAAGCATAGGTACAAAATGTTAAACGGCCAGCAACAAACAGCGTTATCAAAGTTTAAATCGGTAACAGTAACCACATGTCTTGACTTGAGCAAGGGCAATTCCAAAGTACAGCAGTGTGAGGGAAGAAGCATAAATAGAAGAGTATAGTAGTAGGTTTTTACCCTTTCAACTGGTACAAAACTGACACCTTATACAAGGGATCATGTTTGCAATAACCACAACACAAGCAGTCAAAATGCAAACAAAAAGAAACAACTCTGATAATGATATGCACTGTCCTTGTAGTTGATTGGTCCACACCCGAGACAGCTTTTCTTAGAGCCTAGTCTCCATTGGTGTTGGACCAGATGACGCCAAAAGGCGTACCTTGTATAAAGGTGTCAGTTTTGTACCAGTTGAAAGGGTAAAAACCTACTACTATATGTTGCCACTGGTAAAGGAGGTCTCATAGCATAAATAGAAGAGTTTTGACTTGCAGTGTGGTAAGTGGACACAGTGTGGATCGGACGAAACTGTCAGTCTTGTAGACCAAGTCCTCAACATAGGTAGAGGAATCGGTGAGTGAAGTTCACGGTAATCGTAACCCATGGTAGCAGCAGTAGAAGAGTGACAAGGAAGCCACAGGCTGCTCGTGAGTGAGCGAAGGGTTGGAGTGAATGAGTGAGTGCTCGATCATCAATCCGATTAGCACGGTTGACTACGTATGGTGCAAAATAGTTCAACATACCATACGTACTGCCCATAGACTCAACACTGCCCATAGACGCAACACTGCCCATAGACTCAACACTGCCCATAGACGCAACACTGCCCATAGACTCAACACTGCCCATAGACTCAACACTACACCTCCGATTAGCATGGTTGACTACATACGGTGTGAAAGAAGTTCAACATACAGACTGTTTTGCGTTCACTATTACGTTTGCTCATTGCACAGATGTCCGTGCGTTATTGTGTTATCGGTGTGAAAGCACAGGAGAGTTGCAGTCCATTAACATTTGTTTTACTGAAATTGTAATAACAGGAAGATGGTTTACAGCCCTTCCACTGGATGAAGGACTCTCCATTTTGTCAGTCACTCGAGTTGTTTTCACCATACTGCACCAAGGTGGTCAGTGTGGGTTGGTGAAGGGGGGAGAGGCCCAGGACAGTTTCAGACATCTCGCCACTGACAATAACTAGCCGAGAACTGGGGCAACTGCCTTCAAAGGACAGTGCACGGACGACTGTGCCACTGCTCCACACCCAATCCAGGCTGAACTCATCCTAAAAAGCGAGTTATGTTTACGTGTCTATCTTTGGCAAACATTTTCAATCCATTACTTTTGTAAAGATCGTGATTTTATAGGATCTCTGCCATTGCACGTATGCGTGAACACATGCCAAGTGTGAGGTCCTGCCAGCAACGTTATCTCGTGCGACAAATGGGGATGCTATTGGTTGGGGATTTTCCAAGAGAGCTGCGATGACTCATTTCAATTCTGCAGTGAAATGAAATGTCAGATGTGTGAGAGTAAAAGTTTTAACTTGAACAATTTTTGATATGAAATGTCCTTTTAGGTGTCCTTGTCATTTTTTAGCACTTACTTTTCCTGTGATGTGGCAACCCATTAAATGCCTAGAAGTACCGCTCAGCACAAAGGGGGTAATTTAGTAGAGGGATTAAAAACCCTCCTAGTGGGGCATTAATCAGCAAATTCCCATCGTCTTAGGTTAAACCATTTGCCACTGCTTT